GCGCCCCAACTCCCCAATTGGCCCTGCTCTGAGCCTGACCAGGGGCTGCACCTAGGGATTGGGCCTGCCCTCTGCCACCCGGGAGCAGGCCTAAGCCAGCAGGTCATTATCTCCCGAGCGGTCCCAGACTCCGAGAGGGCACAGACCGGGCTGAGAGACCCCCTCTCCCTCCCGAGTGCACAAATTTTTGTGCACCAGGCCTCTAGTTTACACATAAAATTATGTTATATTTTCAGTCATATCTATGAGCAATATTTTGTTTCCAATATTATCTATCTTATAGTCGTGATGAAAGGAGATGGATTGAAAAGCAGAACAGAGCAACAAGGGCACAAAGAAAAAAAGAGGAAATGAACAGAATAAGAACATTAGTTGGTAAGTGTAATTAATTTTTTTAAGTTCTTTAATTAAATGTTAGAAATTCAAAAGATTAACTTTCTTTCTGGTAGACAATGCATATAGCTGTGATCCAAGAATAAAAAAATTTAAGGAAGAAGAAAAGGCCAAGAAAGAAGCAGAAAAGAAAGCAAAAGCAGAAGCAAAACGGAAGGAGCAAGAAGCTAAAGAAAAAGTAAGATGACATTTGATGAAGTTGGACTTTAATATTCATAAAATCTTTAATTTTCAGATCTAGGTTAGAAACCATAATCTGGATGCAGAGATTTAGCTGCTACTATAAATGAATCATGACAAGTTGGTACAATTGATAGAGGGATCTTAACCAGCAAATTTTTGAGCAAAAACATGTGATATAAAATTCTTTAATATCATGCTTATTTCTAATACTAGAGGCCTGGTGCATGAAATTCATGCATGGGGTCCCTAGGCCTGGCCAGAGATCAGGGCTGATCGGGGCCTTCCTTCCCCCAGCTGCTGGCTGCGAGCTGCTGGCTGGAACCTTCCTTCATTCCACGCTGCCCCCTGGTGATCAGCACACGTCATAGCAAGTGGTTGAACTCCCATTCAGTTGAACTCCTGAGGGGACAAATTGCATATTAGCCTTTTATTATATAGGATGTTTGTTTTGCATTCCTAAATGTGTTTGTAGAACTTTACCAGCTGCTTTTCCCAGTTCATCCTTCAGTCTTCAATACATTGATGTATCATCTTTTTTTAAATTTATTAAAAGATTGAATTTTTTAAATAATATGATAGAGCATTTAGGAATTCTAATTTTCTTATTAAAATGATTTTATTCCCCATTTTAAAGCAAAGACAAGCTGAATTAGAAGCTGCTCGATTAGCTAAAGAGAAAGAAGAAGAGGAAGTTAGACAACAAGCATTACTGGCAAAGAAGGAAAAAGATATCCAGAAAAAAGCCATCAAAAAGGAAAGGCAAAAACTTCGAAACTCATGCAAGGTATGTCATGAGTTGACCAAGCAAAGTTGCTGATTACACTTTAAAATAAAATATTTCTCTTCTTATACTAAGCAAATATAATTAAGCTGTTGTATACATTTTATCTCAAAATGTAAATGTTTTTAAATTCACTTTTAAAAATTTCCCACATTCACATTTTAATATCCAACTCTGATTTTTTATTTTTTTTAATTTAACCGCCATGCCATTTTCAAAGTTTAAAAAAACCCACTTATTTAATATCCTAATATTTGGTCTATATTCTTGTTTCCTTTATTATCTCAACAATGTCTTTTTATAGTTGATTTATTCAAATTAGAATCTAAATAAGATCATTTAAAGACTTCAGTTATGTGTCTCCTAACTTGGTCTGTAACAGGCTCCCTGTCATCACCATCTTTTTCCCTGCCCACATGGCCATTCATTTGTTGGAGAAACCAGATCATTTGTTCTGATAATACACCACAATTTGGTTTTGGCTGGTTGCTTCCTTAATGGTGTGAAATTCTTTTTTTTTTAAAATATATTTTATTGGTTTTTTACAGAGAGGAAGGGAGAGGGATAGAGCGTAAGAGACATCGATAAGCTGCCTCCTGCACACCCCCTACTGGGGATGTGCCCGCAACCAAGGTACATGCCCTTGACTGGAATCAAACCTGGGACCCTTGAGTCCGCAGGCCGACACTCTATCCACTGAGCCAAACCGGTTAGGCAATGGTGTGAAATTCTTAAATTAGAAAATGTTCTTTTAGAAGTTAAACTTTGGTGTTGTTAAGGATTTAAAAGCTTTTATTTTTATCTAAATAAAGGGATATCATTTGGGTGAGTTCTGGTAGTTGGCATCCAAATACCGTTTTCACTAATAAATATTGATGAATAATACCAAAAGTTTTCAAATGTAGTTTTGTCCAAGAGATGTTCTTACATTTTAAACTGGTATAGTCAAAGACTAGTAATACTGTTCCTTATCAGATAATATGAAGTATTTTCCTCAGATTTCACCTAGAAAATTGTTTTGAGAAGGATGCAGTATATCATAGTTGTAAAGACCATTGGCTCAAGGCAAGCTGCCTGGGTTTTAAGTCATTCTCTATTTACTACCTGTGGCCTCAGAAGGTTGCTTCAAACCCCTTTGTTCCTCAATTTCCTCACCTATATAATAACTGAAAAAATACCTACTAGTAGAGTTGTGAAGGTCAAGTGAGATAATTTACATATAGTGCTTGGCACATTTGGCATATGATTTGAAGTCAATACAAAAATTTAAAAGGCCAATCTATATACAGAAAAGGCTAAGTGTCCATCCAACTGGTAGCTGTGACATGCATTGACCATCGGGGGCAGACGCTCAATGCAGGAGCTGCCATGACACGCACTGGCCATTAAAAATAAACAGCACCACGGACTTGGTGCCGACAAACCAACACTCGGCTTCCCCGCAGTGGGACACAGGCTCTGCCACCATCCCGGAGCAACACCCCACCAAATCGCAGCCAACGCTGCCAAGACTCCATGGCGCAGAATGCGGCCCTCAGCCCAGCCCAGCCTGGAAATGGTCGCTGTGGGTGCCGAGTAGTGACGTCACGTAGCTACGCCCGGCTTCCTCTCCTTAGCGACTAGCCTCCTTGGAGTTTCTTCAGCCCAGGAACCCAACTTGCTTTATAGCCAGATGCAAACATTTTACAGTTTTCCCAAATGTTTGTAAAGCATTTTCCCATGCCTCATCTCATTTGATCTTCACAGAAGTCCTGGAGTAGGTATATAGGAGACTCGATAGAATCCTATTTTCTTTTCATTAGCAAGACATGAATAGCGATATTAAAATATTTTTTCTAATTAATTTCCTTTCAATGTGTATGAATCCATGCACTGGGACACTAGTTAGAAAATAAAAAGCTTGAATAGTTCTTAAAGATGATGTTTAAATGAGGTTAAAAGTTCTGACATTTGGTAACTTTGTTTTATCGCTCCTTTCCAGCGTGAGTTCATTTATTTATCAAATATCTGATGAGCATTTACTGTGTGCCAAGCAGTCATAATTGATGTGAATATAATGATGAAACATTCCTTGCCTTAAAGGAATCCACTGGTTTATGATGGAGAATGATAAACAGCTATTTCTAACACTTTAAGCACTTTTAGATGAGTACTAGGATGAGAAGGTACCAAAAAGGTAGTCAGGGAAGGCTTTCTGGATCTAGTAGTATTTAGCCAGGTGAAACAGAATATGTATGGGATTAGCAATGAGAGGTCAAGGAGCATTGAGAGAATGCAGAGTTCCAGAGGAGTGGGTTTAATGTGTCAGAGGCAGCTCAAGAGCTGAGGAGGAGCCAAGTCTTGAAGGACATTATGTATCTTTTTAGTGTAAATCTGATCCTGAGTTGGTTTTGGTCAGGACGCTGAGAGAAGACTGGAGTTAGAGAAACCAATTAGGATTCTTTTGCCATAATCCAAGTGAGAGAGTATTGTGGCATGAACTAAGGTGGAGATGATAGGAATAGAAAAAGGTAGATGAAATGAACCGACATTAGGAGGCAGAATAAGCTGTTGCCTATTGGGTATCAATTATGTGTTGGAGATAGTAGAGTGAGGGTTAATATATGTCCTGGTTTCTTGCATGGAATACTGGATAGGTGATGGTATAATTCACTAAAGTAGAAAACAAAGGAGGAGGAAAAAGCTTTGGGGAATGATGATTTTAGTTTCGGGCATGTTAAGCACAGAGACACTCAAATGAAAATAGGTGCTAGTGTGTACAAGTCTGGAGTTCAAGAATGGAATCATCCAGTCCAGCTGGTATGGCTCAGTAGATTGAGCATTGTCCCATGCCCCAAGAGGTTACCGATTCAATTCTTGGTCATGGCACATGCCTGGGTTTTGGGCTCAATCCCCAGTAGGGAGTGTGCAGAAGGCAGCTGATTGACTCTCATCGATATTTCTCTCCCTCTCCCTTCCTCTCTCTCTAAAAAATAAAAACATCTCAGTGGTGCTCTGGCTAGTTTGGCTCAGTGGGAGTGTTGGCCTTCGGACTGAAGGGTCCTGGGTTTGATTCCGGTCAAGGACACGTGCCTGGGTTGCGGGCTCAATCCCCACTAGGGGGCATGCAGGAGGCAGCCGGACAATGATTCTCTCTCATCATTGATGTTTCTGTCTCTCCCCTCTCTCTTTCTCTCTGAAATCAATAAAAATGTTTAAAAAAAAATCTCAGTGGCACTAGGAACCTTGTGAGTAGATGAGATCACCCAGGGAGAGGGGAGAGTGAGGAGGGTGGGTGAAAGAAACCCTGGCAGACGCCAGTAGTAAAGGTACTGTTGCAGCGGTTCTCATCCTGTGGGTCGCGACCCCTTTGGCGGTCGAACGACCCTTTCACAGGGGTCGCCTAAGACCATCCTGCATATCAGATATTTACATTACGATTCATAACAGTAGCAACATTACAGTTATGAAGTAGCAACGAAAATAATTTTATGGTTGGGTCACAACATGAGGAACTGTATTTAAAGGGCCAGAAGGTTGAGAACCACTGTAGAGGAAGAAGAGCCTGAGAAGAGTGACTCAGACAGGTAGAAAGAAAATCAGTAGTGCTTTGAGAAGCCTAGGGAAGTATCAGCAGTAAGACCCATTGGAACTTTAGTGAAAGCCAGGCTGCCTGGCTTGAGGAAGCAAAGAAAAGTGAGGAATGGGTGGCATAAGTATCAGCAGTATTGGAAGCACTTACCAATTGTACATCAGGTACATCATGTTTTATTCTAAGCATAATTTTTCTAATACCTTCTATTCCTTACCACATTATCTTTTTCTTTAATTTCAGTACATTTAAAATTTCCATGAAATTTTCCAGTTCGGCACACGCTAGATTTTAATTTGAGTCATCATACGGAATTAAGTGATTCTCAGAGAACTCATTCTGATTTTTATAACATCCAAGTCTTCTGCACCATCACCATTTTTGTTTTGCTTTCTTACTCACTTGGGAATGCCTTTTTATTGCTAGTAGTCAGGGAGAGCTTTGGGAGTACCCTCAAATATGGTTGTTATAGTCAGAAGGCCATATGTTCAAAACCTCTTGAGAACGTCACGCTTTGTAATTGTGTTTATGAGTATATTTTTCAGTGTCACTAGATATAAGATGAAAATGTTTGTTTGTGCTTTTAGGCCTGGAATCACTTTTCTGACAATGAGGCAGAGCGTGTTAAAATGATGGAAGAAGTGGAAAAACTTTGTGATCGCCTTGAATTAGCAAGGTATAACTACAGAACTAACATTGAAGTCTTCAGCCCTGGCCAGGTAGCTCAGTTTGGAGCATGCTGCCGATATGCCAGTGTTGTGGGTTTGATGCCCGGTCAGGGCACATAAAAGAATCAATTGATGAATACGTAAATAAGTGGAACAACAAGTCAGTGTTTCTCTCTCTCTCTCTCTCTCTCTCTCTCTCTCTCTCTCTCTCTCCCTCTCCCTTCCTCTCTAAAAACAACAAATAAAAATTAAAATAAAAAAATCTATTGAAATCATTTCCTGGGCTTAGGATAAATTTTCATCCTTTTCCCCCCTTAGTTTACAGTGCTTGAATGAAACACTCACATCATCTACAAAAGAAGTAGGAAAGGCTGCTCTGGAAAAACAGGTAATGGAGGAAAACATCACTTCTATTTGCATTTAACATTTAGTTCTGCTTATAGTGTTGCTTTCACCTCAGTATTTCCCCACCTTAACGTAAGTTACTATGAGGGCAAGGAGCATTTCTCTTTGGGTCCCCCACTCTGCTTTGTTTATAGTAAGTGGTATTGTTGATTTAAATTGCATTCAGTGATATGGTTATATGATGTTTGATTTGTGGTATCCTAGCACATTAATCATAGGTTTTTGTTTTTTTAAAAAAATATATTTTATTGATTTTTTACAGAGAGGAAGGGAGAGGGATAGAGAGTTAGAAACATCGATGAGAGAGAAGCATCGATCAGCTGCCTCCTGCACACCCCCTACTGGGGATGTGCCTGCAATCAAGGTACATGCCCTTGACCGGAATCGAACCCGGGACTCTTCAGTCCCCAGGCTGACGCTCTATCCAGTGAGCCAAACCGGCTAGGGCTTGTTTTGTTTTTTAATCATTCTCAGGAAAAAAATAATTGTTTTGGCTATTCCTTGAGCATTTTTGTAGGATAATAATATTTAGAACCAAGATACATTTGTCTGTCTAGTCTACACCTTTTATTTTACAGATGAGAAACAGGCCCAGAAATTAAATTCAATGCAACAAGTATTAGTACCTACTATTATAGCACTGTGCCCAGATGATTCATAGAAATGCCTGCTATTGCTGCACAAAGGAGTTCAGGAACAATTATGCTGAAGAGAAAAGGCCTAAGGACCAAAAGATGGAGGGCCCACAGGAAATGCTGTAGGTTAGACAGCAAGTGCCAACCCCAGGGCAGAGTGGTCAGGGAAGGTTTAGTGAAGGGTTTGAGCCAGCCTATAAGGATAGACTGTGAAAATGAAGGTCAGAGTAACAGCATGAACTATAAAATACGGGTAACTGTAGAAAGTTAGAGGGAGATGAAGTTGGTTAAGAAGTGGTGCCAAATTAAGTATGTTTTTAATGTCATTAGTTTCCATTACTGCAGATCTTTGAGTAGGAAAGGGTTATCATTGCACTATTAATCTGGCATTGGACAGGATGTATTATACCTAATGCATGTGCAAGTGACTATAAGAATGGAAGGGCTTGGACTGGGAGAGTGATGATGGGAATCATTGGGATTTTGGTGATTGGTTCTGAGGGATTAAAGTAAGGAAATGAGTCCAAGATGACTCCAAGATAGCATCCGCAGAAGCAACAAGGTCAAGTAAAGGTTTTCTTTTTTCACTTGTGTATGTTTGAGGAAAGATTTTATGTAACAATGTAAAGGGTAGAACTTCAAGATAAAACAGATACCACTTTGCTGTGCTGTTATCTTTTTGTTAAAAAGTAATTGAATATCTGCTGAAAGAGTGGGTATGAGCTTATTAAACAGGTTTGAAATGGCCTTGTGTTGGTGAATAATCCAGTTACTGTAGACTTAAGTAGTGTCAAACGCACATAGAAATCACATGATAGAAATACAGGGTAGGTCAGGCAGAGGGTGGTTCTTGGTTCCTTAAGCAGAGTTTTGCAGCCAGAAGCCAGAGTGAAAAGCTGATGCCGGTTTTGGGGTTGGCCTGGGTCACTGTCAGGATAATACTGAGAGTTGAAAACCACAAACCCCAGCTAGAAAGGGAGTGTAGAGTAGCAAGATGCATTAAGTCCCTGACTTACCTATTATATTTGTGTAGATAGAAGAAATAAATGAGCAAATTAGAAAAGAGAAAGAGGAAGCTGAGGCTCGTATGCGACAAGCATCTAAGAATGCAGAGAAGTCAGCTGGTGGAGGTGGAAATGGCAGTAAAAACTGGTCAGAAGATGATCTGCAATTACTAATTAAAGCTGTGAACCTCTTCCCTGCTGGAACAAATTCAAGGTACTGATTTTAATTAAATTTCTCTTCAACCCAGAGCCTGGGGATAATCTAGACAAAGCATCCAAGTAACAGCAGGAACTTCCAGAGATATGCTTGTCTAGACAGACTGCCCTGTACTAAATTCTGTGCCAGTGGGAAGTGTGAAAAGCAGAGTGCATTTTGAACCTTCTAGGGTTTTTTTTAATATATTTTTATTGATTTCAGAGAGGAAGGGAGAGGGAGAGATAGAAACATCGCTGATGAATCATTGATCAGCTGCCTCCTGCATGCCCCACACTGGGGATGGAGCCCACAACCCGGCATGTGCCCTGACTGGGAATCAAATTGTGACCTCCTGGTTCATAGGTCGACTCTCCACCTCTGAGCCACGCCGGCCGGGCTGAACCTACTAGTCTTATCAACTTACACCAACACACACACACACATACATACAGCAGTATGCTTCATCAGTTTCTCAGAAATTAAAAATCATGAGAAAAACCTTGACTCATGTTGGCTTATTCCATCATGGCTTATATTAGGAACTAGTGTATTCATAGTCTTAATTCATTGTTGCTTCTGACTTCAAACCCAAGCTTATTGCAGTTTTGAGTTTAGAATTCAAAGAAGCCTTAGAGATCCAGATTCCTTCATTCTTTACATCAGGCAACTAAAGCTGTTTTCAGAATTATTTATCTCCTTAAGTGTGTGTCCAAATGGTGGGATACACCAAAGTATGGTTTTTATTTCCATTGATTTGTACACAGAATCTATAAGGTTTTATATAGACTTGAAATCAAGATTATGACAGTTGATTTAAACATATGAAAAGCAAAAACTATAGTCCAGGCAATAGTGATGATTAGACCACCAATTTAGAGCCAATTCTGTAGATATTATAGCTAACTCTTCTGCATTAAAAAATGTTAGTCATGCCCGGCCAGTGTGGCTCAGTGGTTGAGTGTCGACCTATGAACCAGGAGGTCACGGTTTGATTCCCAGTCAGGGCACATGCCTGGGTTGTGGCTTGGTCCCCAGTGTCGGGCATGCAGGAGGTTAGCCAATCAATGATTCTCTCTCATCATTGGTGTTTCTATCTCTCCCTCCCTCTCCCTTCCTCTCTGAAATCAATAAAATATATTTTTTTAAAAATGTTAGTCATTCTGGTTTTTGTTTTGGAGTTTTTGCCTTAATTATCCTATTGATTGTTCTAGATGGGAAGTTATTGCTAATTACATGAACATACATTCTTCTTCTGGAGTCAAGAGAACCGCCAAAGATGTTATCAGCAAAGCAAAAAGTCTTCAAAAACTTGGTGAGTTAATTTTGCCAAATCAGTTTCTTTGTTACCTTGGTTATTTTAAAATACTCTATGCAATTTAATGAAAGACTAAATGAGATGATCTCTAATATATTTAAATTTTTTCATTCCTCAGACCCTCATCAAAAAGATGACATAAACAAAAAGGCTTTTGATAAATTTAAAAAAGAACATGGAGTAGTGCCTCAAGCAGACAATGCAACACCTTCAGAACGATTTGAAGGTAATTAAATTTTTTCTATAAGTAGAAGATGCTAGCCATGTATCCACACTGTGTTAGGATATATAAGACTTAAGGTCTGTGTTCAGAATGATTGGGAAATAAAGTGGTTAGACTGGAAGATGTAAAGCAAACATTTTCAGGACAGTGATAGATTTACTTAACACCACTGAGAATCACAGTTCTTCCAGTTCATATGCCGTTAGGGGAGAGGCTGTGTTTGTTTTCCTCACCAGATTTTACAAATCAGTGCTAAAGGATATTGGGACAATTGAAATTTGAGGTCTAAAACTTATCTAGTATTTTATCAAGGTCAATTTCCTGACTGAAAAATCCTATATAATAAAAGGCTAATATGCAAATTATCCCCTCAACTGGGAATTCACCAATTCTACCGGGGGGGGGGCCAGCCAGCCAACTGCCTGTGGCCCCTCCCCCACGGCCAGCCCAGCCTGGTTGGCCCCAATCAGGGCAGGCTGGCCAGACCCCACCCATGCATGAATTCGTGCACCGGGCCTCTAGTACACTATAATTGTGTAAGAAAATGTCCTTGTTTTTAAGGGAAAATATATGGAAGTACTTAGGAATAAAGGGGAAGCATGTCTGCAATTTACATGGTTCAGAACAAATGTGTATATAAAAAGGAAGAGTAAGCAAGTATGGTAAAACGTTCCTATGTGGGGAATCAGGATAGGATACATCGGGATTCTTTATACTCTTCTGAAATTATTTCAAAATGAAGTTAAAATCTGTTAGGGTGCTGAGAAGATTGTCTTGGGTATTCTAGCCAATTTTATTGCTCTAGACCAATTACAGTGTTTAACTGTAAATCATGACCCAGCCTCCCCAAGCCTCCTTCATAAGTGGGTCATGAAATATATTTAATGGGTCATGAATAGAAAATGTCATAGAGCATTATACCTATTTTATAAGTGAGTATTATTTATGAAACTTTTGTTCATGTATATATGTGTTTGGGGATGTGACATTATTGAGTTGCTGACAAATTTTGAAAAAGTTCTTTCACTTCACACATTTGTGAGCCACCAGTCCTTTCTCCCTTAAACAGAGCTAATCTTGGATATGCTTTCCAGATCATAGTTCCAAATGTGTTTTGGGATTTATAACTAATAGCCTTGACTTTTACAAGTTAACCTGTCCCTGGCCTTTAACAATCCCACTTTTCCTGTATTCTTAAGATTGGTTTGGTTTATTATCCCAAAATTTCAGTTTGAAAATATTAAGAACTTATGTTCTGTAGAGTATTGTCTCAATAAGCCAAGGTTGCAGGTACAATCCCAGTCAGGGCACATATAAGAATGAACCAATGGCCCAGCTGGTGTGGCTCAGTGGTTGAGTGTCAACCCATGCACCAAGAGATCACAGGTTCCATTCCTGGTCAGAGCACATGCCCGGGTTGTGAGCTCAATCCCTAGTAGGGGGTGTGCAGGAAGCAGTCAACCCATGTTTCTCTCTCATGTTTCTCTCTCTCTCTCCCTTTCTCTCTCTAAAAATCAATAAAAAAATGTATTTTTTTAAAGAATGCATAAATAAGTGGAACAACAAATTTTTTCCTTTCTCCAAAATCAATAAAAATGTAAATTTTATAAAAAGCCTGAGATATTTTTCTGGCTTGTGTGCTATTTCAAGTTTTTTCTCCCTCTCATTAATATTTAGAGATGTATGTGTCTTATGTCTAAAAGTTTAAAATTACACATCATAGATTTGAATGGGCACTTACCAAGATACCTGTGCACCAGAAGACTCACTGGAAAGGTGTTCCAAGACATTTTTCTATAACTGGGGTTTTCAAATAAAAATTTTTCTTAGCAGGTCCATGCACAGATTTCACCCCTTGGACAACAGAAGAGCAGAAACTTTTGGAACAAGCCTTGAAAACATACCCAGTAAATACACCTGGAAAATGGGAAAAAATAGCAGAAGCAGTTCCTGGCAGGACAAAGAAGGACTGCATGGAACGATATAAGGTTGTAGATGTTTTGAGTTTATAGATTTTTGCTTACTTTAATACCGCAGTAGTCATGGGCCATCTTAGAAACGTTCAGAGCTCTGGGAGTTAGTAAAATCAACCTTTTAGTAGTATCTTTAATTATAGACTTATCCAATTTGAATGTTTTACATATTTATACCAAACACTAGAAATGTCTGCCAATTCTAAATAACACCTTTTTCCCTTCCTAGGAACTTGTCGAGATGGTAAAAGCAAAGAAAGCTGCTCAAGAGCAAGTACTAAATGCAAGTAGAACCAAGAAATGACTTAAGACAATCTTTGTTGTGTGTGCATTTTTATAATAAAACTGAAAATACTTTACAAGTTTTCATTCTTATAATTGTACTTATGGAGATAATTTGAAAGTGTGCTGTTCCAACAGAGTTTCTCAAGAGAGCTACCATTCACTGTGGTAGCATTATCCATTGAAAGTTTGATGCAGTATTTCATTCAAATTTCCAAGTACGTATGTTCATTTTTATGTTTTCCTTTGGGGACTGATAGCTTAAAACTTGCCAGTCTCTATTAGTTTTATAAATATGTTCAAAATATTTTGCTTAGGAGCATTTTAATTGCGAAGCCAGCACATGTTACTGCGAATCCTGTTAAAATCTGGTAGTTGCTCAATGGGACCTAAGGATTAAAAGAAAAGAAAGTTAAAATTGACTAAAAGGAAAGTACTTAGCCAACTTTCTACATAGAAAAATGACCAAGCTTACCAACAGCAGCAATAGCTGGACTCTTGTCATAAATATATTTGGAACATACTTCTCGAATTGTCTCAGCATTCACAGCCTAAAATAAAGATACTAACATTCAGAGCTTTTTACAGTAAAAACAAATTCTATACCTGGAATGATACATATTTTTAGCTTTTGTAATAAGGATATTTTTACACAAGACCCAATAGTAAGTATGGAAGAACTACTTACATCTACTCTTGCTTCAAGCTCAGGGATGGGAATTCTTCTATTGTAGCACAACATTTGCCTACCAATATCTTCACAAATTGGAGTAGAACCTGTTTAAAGAGGGGGAAAAAGCTAAGCATTGGACTATAGATCAATCGTATGAAAATAGAACTTACATCTTTATTCTTACCATCGAGTTGCAACAACATGTTTGTTTTCAGAAGGTTTTTGGCTCGTGCAACTTCACTTTCAGTGACACTTGTACAGAGTCGTATCCTAAAAACCAATTGGAAAAATCAAAATGTCAAGTAGTTAGAGTATATGTTTTATAATAATGATCTAAAGAAAGACATACTATATTCTATGTATTATACCACAACTTGATTTCAACTTATAAAAAACTTAAAATTACTAGTGATCCCAATAGCTAAGCAAAAGCTAATCTATTACTGATTATTTTCCTGGTATTGTTAATTTCTGAAAATGATATGACTATCAAACAGAAGCTCAATAAAATATAAAAATAGGCTAGCCCGGCTGGTATGGCTCAGTAGTTGAGCATCAACCTATGAATCTGGAGGTCACGGTTGGATTCCCCATCAGGGCACACCCCCAGGTTGTGGGTTTGAGCCTCAGTGTGGGGCATGCAGGAGGCAGCCAATCATTGATGTTTCTATCTCTTTCTCCCTCTCCCTTCCTCTCTGAAATCAATAAAAATATATTTTAAAATAGTCTAACCATATTTTGAGAAATGCTATAACCACTTTGAGACTTCACAAATCCCCATCTGCTAGGCTCTGATATGCTAGAGGATAGGTTGGTAGGCAACTAGTTTCTCTTTCTTTTAGCAATGGCAACTTCAGATTCATTTTCATAACACTGCCTTTCCAAGCCAGATAACTTTTAGAGATGTTTTCCAAACTTCTAGTTGGAATTTATTTAAACACAAGAGGCCCGGTGCATGAATTTGTGCACCAGTGGAGTCCCTTGGCCTGGCCTGCGGGATCGAGCTGAAACCAGCTCTCAGACATCCTCCAAGGGGTCCCAGATTGCGAGAGGGGCACAGGCCAGGCCGAGGGACCCAGTGCATGATTGGGGCCTGGGAGGGCTCCAGGGCATGTCCAGCCCATCTTGCTCAGTCCTGATGGGCCGGACCCCAGCAGCAAACTAACCTACCAGTCAGAGGGTCTGCCCCCTGGTGGTCAGTGCACGTCATAGCGAGTGGCTGAGCAGCCTTAGCATATCATTAGCATGTTATATTTTGATTGGCTGAACAGCCACTGAATACTAAGCATATTAGGCTTTTATTATATAGGATTTTAAACTTCTAGGATCTCCTTTCTAAAGTATTCTTCTTAAAGAATTTTCTGTAGTTGAAATCAATGCAGCTTCACATGAGACTTAAAGGAAACATCTGTGATCTTTAAAAATATGGCTGCTGCTGGTCTCATTCTTTTTATTACATACTAATAACATCAGTAGAAAATAATCAACATGAACAGTGTATAGAGGAAATTGGGTGTGAATTCTGGGCAAGATTTATTTTCTTACCATTCTTTTTGAACAACATGTAACATGTCTGCAACAGTGGCTGGTTCACAAACCATATAGATTCCCCATAATCCAGTATCTGTGTAGCAAGTGTTGAAAGACTGGAAGCTATGGCAGAGGTTGCCGTGACAGGTAAGCTGGGCCAGCTTACTAGATAAGTTCTGTAAGGAAAATAAAAATGTCCAAGAGAACTGTAGATATACATACATGTCCAATTTACCAGAAAGAATGAGATATGAGACAAACAGTGAATGACCTAAGAGCCTGAGTTTCTCCGTTTTATCTATCAACATCTGTCAAATAATAAATTTAAAATTCAATAACACTAAGAATTATACTTATCTCACCAGCCCAATGACCCCCAGAGAAATTCATAATGTAAAAAGCAATGAATCCCTATAATTAACATAGTTACACTCACTTCTAAAATAATACCTTATTATCAACCCAATCTGTAGTGCTCTTGGCTACGTATGCTTAAAGATTTTAAATTATAGTACATGTGAAACCTAAGAAATGAAATGTATTTTGTTGAAATCTTCGAGTACAAATTTACACTTTGTATTCTGACATAATCTCAGACTTACAGGAAAGTTACAAAAACAGTGAAAAGAATTCCCTTTATTCAAAATACCTAACAATTCTTATATTACCATGCTTGCTTTATATTACCGTCCAGTTACTGTAAGTCCTAGAATGCAAACTATCATTCTTTTTAACATATTTTTTCAGCTATTTGAGAATACATTGCAGATGTGATGCTTTTTACTCCTAAATACTTTTTAGTGTGCACTTACGAAAAACAAGGAAATTAATATAACAACCACTAAAAATTAGGATGTAACTTTGACTGTTAACAAATTCTTCTATCCTTATTCAAATCTTGCCAATTATCCCACTAATAAACTTTATGGCAAAAGGGGGGAAAAAATTTCTGGCTCAGGATGCAATCAGGATCAATTTATATTTTAAAAGTCAAAATTCTTAGTACAGAGTTCTATCTTGCGATTATTATGAAAAAACTTCTTTGTTTCTATTTTTATTTTTGTTAATCTTCACCCGAGGATATTTTTTCCATTGATTTTTAAATAGAGTGAAAGGGACAGGGAGAGACAAAAGAGAAACATCGATTGGTTGCCTCCCACACATGCCCAGACTGGGGCTGGGGATGGAGCCTGTGCCCTTGAGGTAAGTGCCCTTGACCAGAATCGAACCTGAGACTTTGTGGGCTGATACTCTAACCCAGGGGTGGGCAAACTTTTTGACTCGAGGGCCACAATGGGTTCTTAAACTGGACCGGAGGGCCGGAACAAAAGCATGGATGGAGTGTTTGTGTGAACTAATATAAATTCAAAGTAAACATCATTACATAAAAGGGTACGGTCTTTTTTTTTTTTAGTTTTATTCATTTCAAACGGGCCAGATACAGCCCGCGGGCCGTAGTTTGCCCACGGCTGCTCTAACCACTGAGAAAACTGGCTAGGGCTGAACAAAAATGTTAAATCACTTACCATTCCTCCTCCAAAAGAGCGATCCCAGTTGCCAATTAGTGTGTTTGCAACCATGAGACAGATTGTATCCGGATGTGCCCAACCAACAGCTTCAACAGCTATTGCAAGATGTGCTAAAGGCATCTTGTCATCTCTAACTCGAATCTAGTTAAGATAAAGAAAACAAAACACTACATAACATGCTTAACAAGAAAGAAACAAATTCACCTTCCCATTAATTGCAAAGTTAAAATGATCACCATGACTTATTTTGCTTTAAACTATTAAGCCTCATTACATTGTACAATCTAATCTAGAAGAATTTCATGAGTTAGGGACTTTCATCACAAGGTCTCCAATTGAAATACTAGACATAGCCACCAGATGGTTACCTGGTAGTAAAGGATTGCATTATTTTACTGGTAGAAATCAATCTTTTGTGTTTGTTGATCTGAATTTGTAAATCTAAGCAAATTTTGACATAACAGGCTTATTTTTGTACTGCCAATGCTATATTCTATTTAACTGCCAACATCAGGCCTCCTTCCAGACCAGGGTGGGCAAACTTTTTGACTCGAGGGCCACAATGGGTTCTTAAACTGGACCGGAGGGCCGGAACAAAAGCATGGATGGAGTGTTTGTGTGAACTAATATAAATTCAAAGTAAACATCATTACATAAAAGGGTACGGTCTTTTTTTTTTTTTTTTCGTTTTATTCATTTCAAATGGGCCGGACCCGCGGGCCGTAGTTTGCCCACGGCTGTTCCAGACACTACTTTGAGCATCACTCCTAATGTGGCAGACTAAGCCTCTACTGAGGCTTAAAACTATAGCTGACAAGCGGCAGATTTCCTGCAAGTTCTGGCTCTACTGGGCAGAAGAAAGAACTTAGCCAAGAGTAAACCTAATGTGAAAGTCAAAATTTGGCGTGTTTTTAAAATAAAAGTTAACTTTTATACCTTACAATATATAAATGGGCATAGTGCCAAAGAAAAGCACAAAGACTAAATTTGCTGCCCTTAAAACCTTGCTTCCTTAGGAAAGTAGGTGGTTAAATAATATGAAATTGGAATGAATTAAGCAAATGAGTCCATCCTCTTCCCTTTTTCTGTGTTTCAGTTTAAGCTTTTGGTTTCTTCCATCTTACTCCTGTTGGAAACATGCACATTTCTGTATACTCATTCATAAATACAACACAAGAAACTCAAAAGGGTTAACTACTAGCTTAGGAGGCTTGCCCTACCTCACTTCCTGTGAATTTGCAGGGAGGCAGAGCTGGTGTTTCTCCTTTGTATGTGGACAAAGAGTCACCAAAATGAAACTTTGCTAACTCAAGCAGTTCATCATGGGAAACTCCTAAAGTAAAGGAAAATATTTTACATATGTAATAGCAGTACAATCAAAGCAGAGAACTAAATACTTCAGTTTCACATAACTATTTGCATTCACTAAACCATCTAAGGGTAAGCTCATACAGCACACCTTTTTCCCTTGGTGTTATAAGGCTTTTGGTTGCACAGCTTTGTCATTCTGTAGAGCAATCGACAGTTATCATTAACATACCAGTGAATTCACAGGAAAAGATAGTAAGACAACTTGAAAATACCATATTCCATATGAAATCATGTTATATTAAGTCACTGAAAGTCCTAGAATGCAAACTAGCAAAAAAAAAGTAACATTTAAAATTTTTTAAGTGAAAAAATGAGTTTTAACACTTAAAGAAAGCTGGATATACAGATATGCTTTTCTCTTAGCTCTGCTATCAAATTCAGGAACAAAATAATTTCATCTAAATTTCCGAATAAATCCCTAGCTATGCAAATACTTATTACTTGCTATCCAAAACTTAAGAATTACTTAGATTCTATACCCCTTACTATCCAAACTCGAGACCCAAACAGATTCAATCTTAGTGAAGGATTTTTAAACACAAACTTAAAAAACCAATTTAGGCATGTATAAATGGTTTAAAAAATATTGTCACAAAATGTCTTTAAATAAAACATTCTAACCCAGCTGGTATGGCTCATGGTTGGTTGAGCGTCAACCTATGAACCATGAGATCACAGTTCAATTCCCATTCAGGGCACATGCCCACTTTAATTCCACAGAAGAGGGCCTGCCAGAGGCAGCCGATCAATGATTCTCTCTCATCACTAATATTTCTATCTCCCTCTCCCTTTCTAAAATCAATAAATATATATTTAAAAAATAAATAAAACATTCTATTAGAATATAAAAGCACAACTTATACCCATATTTTCCAAATAAATCTGTGGTACGAAACAAGACAGGGTATGCTTGTACATTTTCAGAATCCCTATATAGGAGAGCCACCTTAGATATCAATCCAGAGGGTGACAAAACAAGGAAAATCTTCGTGGTACAAGAATGACAAGCAGAGAGTGAAAAACCATGAACATGCACACGGTTCTCAGCACCTGATGACAACAGCTTCCACTGTTCTATCACTTTGACCTGTAGCCCCCCTGGCTGGGCGTTCCAGAGACTCAGCTGCTCCAACACCAACTCTACTTACCTCTATCCAGAAGGCAGGAGAGCAAATAAATTTTTTTAAAATATATATTTTACTGATTTTTTACAGAGAGGGATAGAGAGTTAGAAACATCGATCAGCTGCCTCCTGCACACCTCCTACTGGGGATGTGCCCGCAACCAAGGTACATGCCCTTGACTAGAATCGAACCTGGGACCCTTCAGTCCGCAGGCCAACGTTCTATCCACTGAGCCAAACCGGTTAGGGCCAAATAATTTTTTTTAATGACGCTAAGTCTGACCTATTTCATTGAATTCAAGATGCCAATGTTTATAAGGCACATCGTTGTTTATTTATCAATAAGACGAAAGGCTAATTAATCTAGGACAAACCATTACTATAAGATATCCTAACTTCAGTAATGTTTAAGTGAACTCATGAACTACAACAAAACCCACTGTCCATATGCAACAACAATGGCAGAGACATTCCAGACAGCTTGGATGTTGACGTCCCACCTCACCAACAGCCCTCCGTTTCCAAGAGAATTTTGGAGTGCACTGCTTGCCATACACAGATAACATAGTTTAGCTGAGAGCCACAATGAATAATATATTTGAGATACTTAACCCTCCTTTTTATCTTCTCCATTACTTCCAAGTAATTAGCTCATAAGTCTATCCAGAACAACTAGAATTTTAATTTACTGTCATTTCCAATGGAAGAAAAATTAACACAAAGTATCTATACTTTATCTATCTTCACTTTGCCCTAAAGAGAAAGAAAAAAAAGAAGGAAAAAAAAATGGAAACCAATAAAATGTACTGTTTGCCTGAATTCAGAGTGCCAGGAAATCTAACAGAATCTAATGTGAATTTTCTTATCACTCACAGGCTTTAAACATGTCCCCAAAGAAGCCTTGTCCTAATGTCAGCCACCTGCATGTTTGGATTCCCATTAAACATTCTCATGGTTCCCTATTTACTTCCCCTTCTCAGTAATAGATTAATGAAAGAATGAACAAATGAAAGAATTAAAGAACATAACCTACCCATTCCATGCCTGACCAAGGATGAAGCTGGTTCTCAAGAAATAATTTAAAATCTTGAAAGATTCTGTAACTGTAGGGCACTGCCTTCTAAGTGTCATTGTCTCCCAGTTCACTCGTGCCCTCTCTTGCAAGTAAATTCCTTTATGTATGTACACTTATGTATTAGAGAGTCCATACATTTTTCTATTAAAAAACTCTACTATAGCCGAACCGGTTTGGCTCAGTGGATGGAGCGTCGGCCTGCGGACTCAAGGGTCCCAGGTTCGATTCCGGACAAATGTACCTTGGTTGCGGGCACATCCCTACTGCGGGGCGTGCAGGAGGCAGCTGATCGATGTTTCTCTCTCATCGATGTTTCTAACTCTCTATCCCTCTCCCTTCTTCTCTGTAAAAAATCAATAAAATATATTTTTTAAAAACAAAAAAAAAACTCTACTATAAAGTAGAGAGGAAAGTCTGGTTCCCCTTACACCTCTGTAAATACTCTTTGGACATCTCCCAACGGGATCAAACTGATAAACACATTACTCTGTTTAAAAGTACAGTAAACACTCGATTTAACAGACTTCAGATTTAACAGACAAAATGTCCGGTCCGTACGTCCTATGTGAAAATTAACACCCTGTTGATTTTAAAATGCTTTTAACCAAGATTTGCTTAAAATTAAATTAACAGGTTATTTATTAATTCACTGTTATTTTAAACAAATTTTAGCAAATAGTCCATTATATTGGGAAAAAAATTGTAGTAATTTCACTGACAGATATAAATATTACATATCTACTATAGTCTACATCAGGGGTGGGGAACCTTTTTCTGCCAAGGACTATTTGGATATTAATAACATCATTCTGGGGCCATACAAAAGTATCAACTTAAAAATGAGCCTGCTATATTTGGTCAAACATTTAATTAACTCATCCCTTGGCTGGGCCAGACCCAATGATCTAGTGGGCCTAACACTGCCTGCGGGATAGTCCCCGCCTCTGATCTACATAGTTAAATCCAAGCGTCACTGCTCATGACAATGTTCAGCGAATGATTAGTACAGGATCACGCCGCATAGCACATGGTAACTGGTTCTGTTTCTACAGCAGTTTTAACACGTGCCAGCCAATGTTCCAAAGTGTGCTAAGCCACAGCCCACACGTGTGCATTTGTTTACTCAAGGTGACTGCTGAATGCACGCATGTACTAGACGTATTCAGTATAAATTTAAAATTACAGTAATACATATAGAAAACTTTCCTGTGAAACTAAACTTTTCATACTTAATTTTAATTACACAAATGTGTCTACGTAAGTAAAAACAGGTAAACTAATTTGTCAATGTTTTAACATATGCACATAGAAAACCTACTTTATTATATAACAGATTTCAGCTTTAACGGACACCCCCTCACCCGAATTAGCCATTATACTGCAGTTTTACTGTAATAGATATTTAAATCAACTAACCTCCAGCAGCAGCAAGTACTATCCTTGGTCCCTTATAATGTGTAGTTATATAATCCACTAAGTCCTTACGATTTATAGATCTGTGGAGTAAGAAAAGTAATTAAACAGAAATTAAAAAGCATAGAACTTCACATAACATACCTGAAATTAAATTAGACCTTAAAGGAAATCTAAGTTAAACACAGTTAGAAAGCCTGGCTAGTGTGGCTCAGTGGTTGAGTGTCAACCTATGAACCAGGAAGTCATTGTTCGATTCCCAATCAGGGCAAATGCCGGGGTTGGGGGCTCCATCCCCAGTGGGGAGAAGGAGGGGGTGCAGGAGGCAGCTGATCAATGATTCTCTCTCATCACTGATGTTTCTATATCTCTCCCTCTCCCTTCCTTTCTCTGAAATCAATAAAAACATAAAAAATACATAGTCAGAAAAAGTATATTGGCATCAGGTATCAAAAAATTCAAACTTTTTTACATCAAGAAAGAAGCCAGATGTGATACCATCACTTGTTTTTTCCAGAAGCAGTTAGGAGCCCAGGCACCGGGGAGTTAGGTGGGCTAAGTATAGCTAACTACAACTTCATTCAGATTATCATGGGTGGGAGGGCGTGGGGGGGAGGAATTACTTTTTGAAACACATTTTTTGAATGTTTATGAATGTTGGTTTTCACAACTCATGTTTTTCTCAAAAAAAAAAAAAATCTGAGAATTATACTCACTTGATATTTTCAGTTGGTCCCAGAATTGTCCGTCCAAGTGCAGTATTTTGATAAGCTGTGGCATGAAGATAATCGAAAACTACTTCTTGTAAGTTGGTTTCAACTTCCTGCATCTCTCTAAGGATTACTCCTCGTTCACGTTCAATCTCTGCTTCTCCCAATGTGCTATTTTGTATTATATCAGCAAGAATTTCTACAGCTAATTGAAAATAAAGCATAAGAAATACTAAGAATCTTAATTTTCACTATTAAAATCTAGTTAACTAGCACCAGAAACCATGATACTGACCATCACTCAATATTGACTAAATAATTAAACTTAGAAGAAACACATTTTTCTATACATTCAATATATCTAAAAGGACAATAGTAAAAAAAAATTTTAAATATATTTTTATTGATTTCAGAGAGGAAGAGAGAGATAGAAACATCAATAAAGAGAATCATTGATCTGCTACCTCCTGCAACCCCCCCAGGAGGGACCAAGCCCCCAACCCAGGCATGTGCCCTGACCGGGAATTAAACTGCGACCTCCTGGTTGATAGGTCGAAGCTCAACCACTGAACCATGGCGGCCGGGCTTAAAATTTTTTAAATGTAAATCTGCCAGAGGGCCCACAACACTTAATCACTACCTACAACCACTTCAAAACTGTCATGGATGCCCTAGACGGTTTGGCTCAGTAGAGAGAGCGTCGGCCTGTGGACCAAAGGGTCCCGGGTTCGATTCCAGCCAAGGGCATGTACCTTGGTTGCAGGCTCTTCCCAGGTCCAGGCTCTGGTTGGGGGTGTGCAGGAGGCAACCAATCAATGTGTGTCTCTCACATCAATGTTTCTCTGTCTTTCCCATGGATCAGTTGCCTCCTATACACACCCTACTGGGGATCGAGCCCACAATCAAGGCACAAGCCCTTGACCAGAATTGAACCAAGGACCCTTCAGTCAGCAGGTTGATGCTCTATCCACTGAGCCAAACTGGCGAGGGTGCCTATACATATTTTCTATCATTTGTCATACTGGGAGAAAAACAATTTTTTTTTGTGTACATTTCTGGGGGTTACCCTTTCACAACAGGCAGAATAAAAACTAAATTTTCTTAATTCTTATGAAAATTACATATCTGCAGTATAAATAACAACAATACCTCTTGGCAAATCTTTAGAAAATGCTTTGGCATAATATACAGTCTGCTCTCTGGAAGTATAGGCATTGAGATGAGCACCCATGTTTTCAATTTCAAGTTCCAGATCTAACTGGGATCTCTTTTTGGTGCCCTGAAATAAAAAAGGGGGGGAGGGATTATGATACTTGCCTTTACCCCCATCTGTTCTAAATACTTCAGACAATGAGTATGAGGACATAAGTCTATGTCAGTTTCAGGCAAGGAGCAAATTTGGTTTCTAAAGTACATTAGGCTTCAGAAATTGTAGTATATTTTCAGATGACCCTTACATCCCAAGAGGAAATTCTGTTTCAATTCTACAGAGCAAATATAAGTAATTACTTCAGATAATTATTCTGGAAAAAAAGAAAAGATTTTAAAAATAAAACATGCCATACTGTTGAAGTTTTTCATGCCTTAGAATGAAATTTTGTGCTCTCTTAAAACAATGCGTTCTCATTAAATATCTCAGACAACTTGCCTTGAAAGCCATATGCTCCAGAAAGTGAGCTGTTCCATTATTCTTCTCATTTTCATACCGGCTTCCAGCATCAATCCAGAGCCCAACCTTAATGTAACCAAAGCACAATTAAGAAAAGCACCATTTCCTGTCTTTGGGGAAAAATGGCAGTGGGGACCGGGGAGACGGCACCTTCCTTTTTCTGACAAATGCTTTCTAGTCTTAACACTAAAGTCTTCTTGACTTGAGTGGCTTGATAGTATACTGCTATGAACTATGAGATTTAAAAGGTTTGGTCATCCATACTCTGCTGCATGCTTCACGGAGGACCCAGATTCTTAGTCCAACTTGTACTACAGCCATTAACAACTATAACATAAAGAGTATCAGGTATCGTCAAATATAAGTTCAAATCCTGGTTCTGTAATGTATTAGCTGTGGGACCTAGGACAAAACCACTCAACGTCTCTGCACCCGTTCCTCTACTATAAAAAGGATCATGAGGCCTAAATACAAAGAACTGTTTTAAAGATCAAATAAGGAAATACAGTATATAAAAGCAGCTGGCACAGAGTAGCCCAGCAAATACAATATTCGTTACTATCAACATTACTAACCACAAACAATATAGTAACAGGCTACAAAAACCAGATGCCGACGCTTAAACCCACATGCATCCAGTATGGAAGGCTCACTGGAGCAGTGGTTCTCAACCTTCTGGCCCTTTAAATGCAGTTCCTCAGGTTGTGACCCAACCATAAGATTATTTTCGTTGCTACTTCATAACTGTAATGTTGCTACTGTTATGAATCGTCATGTAAATATCTGATATGCAGGACGGTCTTAGGCGACCCCTGTGAAAGGGTCGTTCGGCCGCCAAAGGGGTCGCGACCCACAGGTTGAGAACCGCTGCACTGGAGGAACGACTCATAAGCGACAGACCGGCCACTGGTTCTCAAGCACCAGCCAACGGAGAAGCTCGGATTAAAGCCAGCCGTTCGCTGCCTCCGGCGCCACTTACTGTGCACGTGGACAGCCCGGAGTCCTCGGAGGCCACCCGGAGGCCGTTCTCCAAACGGGTCACTCGCGTTTCGGGGACATTGAGAACCACCTGCGCCGCCGCCCGGGTGCTTCTCGGTCTGTTTCCTCCCAGATGCGAGGGCTGGTTGGCGGGGAGGCGGGGGAGGAACCAAAACACGCGTCATTCCGAGCCAATGTCGTGGATCGAAACCCTAAGTCTGTGCAGCGCTCGCCCTCCGCGGCCCCGG